TATAAGTGAGAGCACACTTCAAGTCCTCAATTAACATGCATGAGGTCTTTTGAAAGGAACCCAAAAACAAATCCGTGTGGATTAGGCTCAAAGCGAGCAATATCACACTAATGTGGAATTGTGGTGTGTGTACGGCCCAACAAGATGGATGACCTAGGCCCAACAAGTGGTATCATAGTCGATGGTTCGGCTGGAACAAACATAGTATCCAATGTGACTTGAAAATTTTACCCTACACCCTAGTGTAGGGTGTGTTCCCTACACCCCCCCTATGCTACGTCGTTTTGTAGCTGGTATTGAGTTCTCATGTGCAGCTTCTTTCCTTTTGCGGTTCTTTCCTTTTTTTTTTCCTTTTTTTCTTTTTTTCTTTTCTTCTTCTTTTTTCCTTTTTTCCTTTTTTCTTTGTTTCTTATTATTCAAGTTATGTATATATATGATTTTAAACCCTATTTTTTCTCTCTCTTCAATTGATCAACCTCCATTTTTTATCTACATTTTTCTCTCGCTAATTCATCTTCTTCATTTGATTTTTTGAACGAACTCGTTAATTGTTACCGATCATTAATGGCGAATTCTGCATCTGGAGATTGCGTTGATTTTGATCGTGATTGCGAGCGTGTGTTTCCTTCTGGAGTTCGTTTGGTTGATTCGTTTGTGCAACAATGTGAGTAATTGTGATCATAATTTTGCAATTTTTAATTATCTCTAATTTGTTCTGTTATAATGCTCTGTTAATTTGAACTTAATTGATGTATTATTATTCACTTTCGATTTTTGAATTTACTACTTTGATTACATTATGATGAACGTTTTTGGATTGTTATACTTTGTATGAACATTTTGTTGCTTCATTTGTTGTTTCATTTGTTGTTTTCTCTGTGTTTTAGAATTGTGTGTTTTTGTCGTATATTTTGTAGATTATACTTTCAATTAATCGTTTATGTTTTCTTATTCATACTTACTAATGTGTTTATGTTCAGTCTTAAAGTCATTTTTGATCATTTATTTTTACATTTTTATATCGATATTATGTGTAGTGGTAAATAATGAAAATATTGTTCAAAATATTATGTGCTGAAATTCTTTTTGCAATTGATCATGTGCTGTTTTGATATTGAACATTTTACTTATTTGTTATTGTTCATTCATGAAACTCTTTATGATCATTTATAATTGTATATTGTGCAGTGGAAAAAAATGATGATATTATGTATTTAGAAGCAGAACAGTCTGAATTAAAGGATAAAGAATTTAAATCTGAAGATGAAGCTTTCGAAGCGTATAATGAATATGCTTTTAGGAAAGGTTTTGGAATTCGAATTGGGAAGAGTAAGAGAAGAAGAGATGATTCTTTTTTGATGAAAAGATTTGTTTGTTGTAATGAGGGATTCAAAGATAATAAGTGTAAGAATAAAAGGATTTATGAGAAGTTGGATCATCGAACTGGTTGTTTAGCTTTTGTGCAGTTTCATATTGATCATTTAGGGGTCTATACATGTACAAGACATGAAATGGTTCATAATCATGCTATAATTCCTCCTGAAAAAAGGCATTTGATAAGGTCTCAAAGAGATGTGAATAAAGAGCAGCTTCTTTTCATTTCAACAATGAAATTGAGTGGAGTCAAAGTTACTGATTCTTTGAGGGTTCTAAAGAAGGAGGTTGGGGGATCTCCTAATCTTTGTTTTACTGCTTCTGATGCTTATAATGCATTGTCATCTGAAAAAGCTGCCCAAATTGAAGGATGTGATAGTAACCAATTGATTAAATATTTTGCCAAGAGACATGTGGATGAGGCAGATTTTTATTATGATTTTGAACAAGATGATAGTGGTGCTTTAGTTAGTTTTTTTTTGGCGTGATGGTAGGATGATGAGAGATTATCATTACTTTGGAGATTTGTTGGTTTTTGATACAACTTATAGAACTAATAAATATGGAATGATATGTGCTCCATTTGTTGGGATGAACCATCATGGTAACAATGTCATGTTTGGTATGGGTTTTATTCTTAATGAGCGCACCGAGTCTTTTGATTGGTTGTTTGATACATTTTTGCACTCAATGGGGAGGAAAAGTCCCATTACAATTATGACTAATCAAGCACAAGCGATTGCAGCGGGTATAAGAAACATTTTTCCTTCAACTGTTCATCATCGTTTATGTGTATGGCATCTTGAACAAAATTCTAAGAAACACATTGGAGCATTGAGAGCTTTGGAAGGCTTTACAGATTTGTTTGGATATCTTTTGAAGTATTGTGAAACTCCTGCTGAATTTGAATATTTCTGGAAAAGGTAAATTATTGTTTTTTGTATTTATTTTTTATTTTTATTATGTGATATATTTGATTATTATGTGATATATATATGAACATTTAGTGTTTTACATATGATCATACAATTTACTTTGTTATGTATGTTATCATAATATTATTAGTGTCCATATTGTTTATGATCATTATTCTTTATACAAATGTACATATTTTAATTTATATTTTGTTCATTTTTCAATTAATATATGATCATTTCTGTTATACAGGATGTGTGATAAATACAAATGTGAAAATGATGATTGGTTATGTGATTTGTATAAAATAAAGGAAATGTGGTGTCCTGCTTATTCTAAGAAGTATTGGTCTGGTGGTATATTGTCTTCTCAACGTAGTGAAACTACTAATAAGTCAGTTTCACAACGTCTTAATAAGACTCAAGGTTTATGTGATTTTTATCATGTTTTTCTTGATGTCATTTCTGAGTGGAGAAGTAAGGAAGGTGCAAGAGACTACAATACTCTGAGGGGTAATAGGCACCTAGCTTTTGCTAATATTGGTATATTAGTTCATGCAAGATCATTGTACACTATTCAAGCTTATGTGCTTTTTGAAGAGGAGTTCATTAGGGGGACAACTTATTATCATGTTGACAATGGTTTGCGTTTTCCAGAATATTCATATCTTCTTTGGAGGCCTGGGAAGGATATAATTAAGCATGAAGTTGTTTTTAATAAGGAAACACATGCAATTTGTTGCACATGCATGTACTTTAGTGAGACTGGTTTACTTTGTTCTCATTCTCTTCGAATATATCATTTGCATTGTGTGCGTAATATTCCACAAGAGTATATAATGAAACGATGGACAAAGGCTGCCATGTGTAGTCATGGTATTGAAGAACCTACTTTGAGGACAAATTTTGTGGCTACTAGTGTTTGGAGGTCACAAACAATCAGAAAGTTTGTTAAGTTGATAACAAGTTGTCAGAATTCTTTGAATGCAAGGGCAGAGGTTGAGTGTTATTTCAATCTGTTAAAAGAAAAGGTTGAGAGTGTATCAGGTGTAATTGACTTTAGTGAACCTATTAAAGAGGTTGAAATTGTTGATCTTGAGATCAAGAATCCTCCAAAAGCTAGGCCTAAAGGTGAGAGGAATGTAAGGCCTAAGAGTACCTTGGAGAAGCAGTGTAACAAGGCAAAGGGTAATTTCAAGAGGAAAAAGTCTTTGTACACTCCTTACAAAAGGGGTATAGGGCAAGCAGTTGTACAGGTATATGATCATTTCATATTTTCAAATTGATCATTTCAGTTTTCGTAAATGATCATTTATGTTTTTTTTTTTTTTTAAATAGGAACTTGATGAGAACGGTTGTGCTGTTACTTATGCTAATTCTATTAGTGATCCCATTGAATTGATTGTTTTGAGCAATAAACGGGCTCAGGTGAATTCAAATGTGCCAAAAAAACATTTTATTTATATTTTATTAATATTGATTTTTATAATTTAAAAATATAGGTCGGCTTAAAATCAGCTGTTGTAGAAGAAATTCCTTCTAGTTCTAAGGAATCAAATCATAGTATTTCCAATGATTTTGATCAGGTATGTTTGTTTGTTATTGATTATAAATTTATTTTATTTTTTGGCATTTATGATCTATATTATAATTTTTTTTTATTTAATTTTTTATTTTTTATATTTTTTTTTGGTTTTTTTGTAGGCTACTGGTGAAAGCTCTCTTTCATCTAGCATATCCATTGATGTTGATATTTCATCTATTGCTAAGGTTTTTTTTTCCATATTTGTTTGTATAAGTGTTTGTAACTGATCATATACTGGTTTATTAATGATCAATTTAATTTTTTTTAAAGGCGAAGGATTTAAATCTTGAAGGTGTTTCTGCTGTTCAAGCTCGTTCTAATGTTGGTGCAAATAAAGGTGCTTCTGGTGTTAAAACTTACTCTCAAATTAATCCAAGAGTTCCAATTCATACTAGTGCGTCAACAAAATCTCCTGTTGTTATTCAACCTATTGTTCCCAGGAATGTTCAAAATCAAACTCAGAATTGTTCAAACACCAATCCAGAAATGAACATATCCAACTCCAGGAATGTTCAATCAACAAATGTTCAAGTTATTTCTCCTGCGGTTCAAATAAATGATCAAGGATTTCGTGTTCAGAATGTTCAAGTTACTCCTCCCACAGTTCAAAGAAATGATCAAGGTGCTCGTGTTCCAATTCTTCAATCAAGAAATGTTCAATTAGGTACTAAAAAGATTTCTTCTAAGTATGATAGGTTGTTAGCCTTTTTTGATACAAGTGTAGCTAAACGTTTGGCTAATAAAGATAAATAATTAGTATTCCAGAACTTTATAAACATTAGACTTTTTTGTAATGTTGATTTAATTACTATTTTGTAATTTTGAATTTTCGATCTATTATGCAAAAGACATAAATATTATATTTTATATAGTACTATTTTTAGTATATTTGAACTTTATATTAGAATTTTATATGTTTTTAAAATTATACATTTATCAATGATTATTTAGTCATTAGAATTTTATATGTTTTAATATTCTACATTTATCAATGATTATTTAGTCATTTGTATATGAACAAAAGTAAGAACCAACATCCAATTTATAAAACTTATAAAAAAACTTTCATTCAAAGATTAAAATGAAATATCAATTACAATAATATTAAAATAAAAACCATAAGTCTATTTCTTAAAAAAAAAAATAGTCATATATAAGAAATGAACATATACATAGTTGTAAATGAACATTTGAAACTACAAAGTTGCAAATTTTCTAGCTTTCCTTCTATTTGCTCTTGATTCAGTGTTTTCTTCAAATAACATCAGTTCTGCTGTGTATTGGAGCCTTAGCTTTCTAATTTGTTCCACCTGTTGAACAAAATGAATTGTCAAATTTTAATTAAACAATCTTTACTGTTTCATAAATGAATATTATATCTTAAATAATTGATCATTTATAACTCTTACATTGTTTGGTTTTAAATCACAAATCCAGCTCTCATTAGGATCAGCAGTGAAGATTTCCATATGCTTCATAATGTAAACTCCACAGTTTGTATAGTCATTGTTGCTACGCCATTTCATCTTTTCCAAAACAACTGTGTAGTCTTCAATTCTTTTTGCATCTTGATATCCAAGGTGTTTCATGTACTCTGCCAATCCTTTTAACTGATAGAAAAAAGAGTAAAAATTGTTTAGAAGTTTGTATTGTGATGAAGACATGAACAATTAATAAAATATAATTGATCATGTAGCCAACTATAAATGAACATATTATCTCACCATCATTTTTGGTTGTTCTTCATATTTTGCTTGGACTGATGCCTTTTTTGGTAGTTTTCTATTGTCAATTATATGAATTTTGTCTTCTATATGATTGACGCACAACAGAAAAAAATGTTGAGAAGTTGATACTGGGAAGAAGACCTGAACAAATTATATAATGTTATTGGACAATATATTGAATGTAATTTAACATTTGTATTAAACAAGAATTAATACCTGTTTATATCCAACAATGCTGTCAATTTTATTCAACTTCAGTTCATTGTCAATTCTTTCTATGAAGGCATTAATTCTTGTCTTCATTGATGATCCTTCTCGACAAACTCTATTTGTGCACATAATGTGCTGTTGAAATAGAAACAAACATATAGAAGTTAAATGAATTTTTAGCAATTATTTATCATAGGAAAATAGAATCAATAATATAAAAAAAGAAGAAAGACTAACATGAAGCACTGTTGAGAAATAAATCTTGTTTCTCGGCTTTTTATGATTAAGAAACCTTGCCCATCCATCTATGACACAATTTGTCACTTCAACATCATCTCCAAGAGTTTTCATTTCATTTCTATTGATGAGATTCAAGCCATCATATTATAAGAGTGCACTGCATTATGAACATTTAATAATATGAATGTGAACATATTTTTATAAAAGATATTAAACCTTAAGTTTAATTAGTGTAAGTAATTACCTTTCATCTTTTCCACCAAGAGCAAAGTCTACTGCAATTTCGTTCATGGCTTTCTCATCTTTAAACAGATCCTTGTACTTGACCAAGTAAGGAGATCGGAAAGCAGGAGGAATTGTTTGCTTTTCGCGTTTTGGTCTTGTTGTTCAATATAAAATATTGTTAAATTAAGAAAATTATGAGGAACATAAATGAACATTTGAGTGTATATAAATAAATTTGAAATTATACCTTTCAACCTTTTCCTTTTCAGTTTTTTTCTTCTTTTCTGCAATTGACTTGTTCTTATCATCATTCCTGGTCATATTACATAACACAAATGTACATTTAGGTATATGAAAATGCTCATTATTATTTTTGAACATTTACTTAATATAAATAATGTACCTTTTTGTGACTTTTGAGGATGAAGCAACAATCTTCTTGTTTTCACTGAAAAGTCAAACAATGTCAGTACATATTAATAAAATATAAGCTTCTTATGTAACACCCTGAATCATTTTCAATTCATAAAATGAAAGATATTGATTTAACATAAACCACACATTCATATTACATATTCAACAAAATAATGTACACACATACAATAGTTTGAGAAACTCCAGTTTCAAGTTACAACACGATAGTAACATAAGTTAAATTGTTCCATCTAGATATTTTATCCTTACTAGTTACATAACCCTAATAGTAAGACATGTCTTCAGGATTTTACCCCTCCACTTTTTCATCATTTTTTGTTTTTTCAAAAACATCTTCCTTGTTTTGTTTTCCACCTCCAACTGTGTTTTTTGGATCATCACTTTTTTCACCACCATCTGACCTAGGGTCAGCATCAACCACTGAACCAGATCCTGCATCTAAGAAAAAATTTAATTAGATATAATATTATTTCTTTGTAAATGAACATTTGAGTATTTATAATTGAACATTATACCTGTTCTAGGCAATCCTTCATTATCTGACCTAGTGTCAGCATCAAATTTTGAACCAGTTGCTGCGTCTAACAAAAAAATACAATTAATAATGAATATTTCTTGTTTGTAAATGAACATTTTACACTTTTTAATTTAACATTATACCAGTTCTAGAAAATTCTTCAATTCTTTGTTCTGAAGCTGCTGAAGTTTTACCCACATCCTTTTCTCCAGCTGTATTATAAATCATCATTTCGGAGATACACTAAGTTAATAGTATTTACACATAATAATTAGAAATGAACATTTCTACTTAAGTTTATGTACATTATTATTAAATATATGAACATATTACAATTTGTTGAAATTATTGGTTGTTCAATTATATCACCAAGTGTTGAAGAGGTGGGCCCTGTTTCTGTTTAGGACAATTTAGACCACAAATTTAGAATTTTTCATATAAAAATTAGGATATATAGTCTCTTTTAGTTAGAATTTACCAATGGCTGGAGAAGGTGGAGTCAACCCCAAGCTGAAAGCTTTTCTGATGTCATATTCTTGTTCTTTTTCCTTTCCCTTTTTGGTTAATTTCTTCCCAGTCATTTGCTTCTCAGTTGTTTGCTTTTCAGACCCTTGCATCAGATTCTTCTCAGCTTGTGCAAGTGCATTTAGGAAATCCTCACTGCCAAAGAATTCTTCATCTTGGCTTAGAATTGATGGTTCCCTAGCTGCCACCTTTCCTAAAACTTCATCAACTTTTTTCACCAAGTCATTTCCAGGGAAGATATCCTTTGCATTCACCAATTTTGAAGAAAGCTTTGACAGGTTTGAACAAGTTGTTTTTACCAGGGAAACAAAATCATCCATAAAAACCTATATGAATGAATATTAAAAATTATGCAGTTGAACATTTCAGATTATACAAATGAACATTTATGTTAACAAAAGTGATCATTTTATAACCTTAGGACTTTCTTCAACTTCTGCAGCAATCCTTGGTAGAATTTTCCCTCTCCCAAATCCCAATTCTAATTCAATCTTCAACCTCTCAAGAACCATGTCTCTATTCCATGCAGATATGATAGGAATTGTTCTTGGAGGCCTTTTGTCTAACCTCTGAACTCTATCAAAATAGAACAACTACAAGAAAAAAGAAAACATGGAACAGAACATAAACAATAAAAAAAGTGCATTTATTTAAATTTAAATGAACATTTTGTATCTAAGAATATACCATCAGAAATTGAAGAGGGCCTTTGTAGAACCCCTTGCCTTGCTGCTTTCTCCAATCAACATGACATTTGATAAGTGAGTCATATACAAACTGACACCAGTTCAAATTTTTTATCTTTTCTTTGTCCATCATAGAATAAAGAAATTTGAAATGGCATTGATTGTTTGATACACATTTCATCAAGCAGTTCACAGCCACTGCTAAAAAGTTAGTAATGAAATGTTCACTTGGTGGTCTGTTGTTGGTGAATTTATCATTTATGTATCCATTCACAATCTGCAAACAAAATGAACAAAACATTTATACTTTTGATCATTTAATGTATTTAAAATGAACATTTAAAACTGATCATACCTGACTCACTGATGGAGTTTTTCCTGACCATGATTTTCTCCATTTCTTCAGAAATTCTGCATACTCCTCACTAATTTTATCAGACTTTGGCTCAACAATTGGAATTTCTCCTGTAGGCAAGCCATAAACTACCCTAACATCCTCTACCTCAATTTCTATTTTTTCATTCTTTGGTAGTTCAAAACACTAGCTATTTTCTTCAAAACTTCCCAATAACCAATTACAGAACTTTTAATCAAGTTGAGGTAAACTAATGTCAAGAAGTGATCCTAACCCTATATCAACAACTTGTTGTTTTTGGGTAGGTGTCATTTTTTTATCCATGCAATGAACTTCACATGTCCTCCTCTCTTTGAAGATTTCTCTTCCTCAAATTCATCTTCCTGAATTTCCTCAACTTCATCAGTTTCTATTGCTTGAACCATTTCAGTTTTCATTTTCTTTTTTCCCCTACCTTCAATCTTTCCTTCATCATACAGTACCATCTTTTGCTCCTCCTTTTCAACCTTTGCCTTCACTGAATTCCCTTTCTTTGCCTGTTTCTTCCTTGTCTTTACTTCTTCCTCTTCCTCCTCTTCCTCCACCTCATAATAATCCTCACTGACAGGCTCTGCTTCTGCTCTATAAACTGACTCTTCACTATCATCATCACTGTCAGTAGAACTTTCATCAGTAGGATCTTGAGAGGGTTCATCTGATGGTACTTCTTGTATTTTTTTTCTCTTTCCAGCATTTCTCTTGGCAGGACTGACATCTGAAAATTAAATATATAATTTTGTTTAAGTATTGAAAATTTACAGTAAGCAAATGATAAAATGAACAAAATTGTTTTCTCAAATGATCATTCTATATATAGAAATTGAACATTTATAATATATCATTATATACCTGCTTTTCTTTTGCCAGCAACCTTAGAAGTTTTCTTCACTTCTTCTGGAGTTTTCTTTTTCCCACCTATATATTGAAATTGAACATTAATGATATACCATCATAAATGATCATTCTATACATTAAGATTGAACATTTACCCTTTTTGCCTTGGTCTGGAGGATATTCAGCAGGAGCACCTGCCATTTTTTTTATTGGAGTAGGTGCTGGAGGTGGTGCATCAGCTTCCTTTTGAATAGGAAAAGTCCTTGTAGACATTCTTCTCTTCTGTCCTATTTTTGCGGTTTCTTTAGCAGGTTCAACATCCTTCTTCAGGCTTCCTTTTTCAGATTCATCTAACAGAACATCTATTGTTTTTAAAAAAATTTATGTTAGTATATTTGAAAGTGTAATATTTATTGTGAAACAGAAAAGTATTATGATTACCTTGGCTCCTTGTAATTCTACCACTTGGCACAACAACAAGGCTTTTGTTTTTGTTTTTCCTTGCAACCATTTTGTATCTTGTTTTCATTGTGGTTGACTGATCACTTTTTTGTGATGATGGAGCTGTCTCCTCACTAAGTTTTGTGGAAACTTTATCATCATCTTGATCTAGAAGATAAGTTTCATCCTCAATTTGAACAAAATCAGGTGCAATTTGTGCTGCATATGAAATGATCAAATATAAAAAATTTAAATAAACATTTATTTAAATTGGATGACAAATGTTTACTATATACAATATAAATGAACATTTCAGATAATGAATATGTACATTTTCCACTATTTACCTTTCGGATCTGTTGTCTTTGTAGACTCATCTTCCACTATTTTCTCTTTAGGGATTTCTCCTTTTCAGGCTCTTTTTTTCCCTCTTGTCCTTCTATGAAAATTTAATTAGTTAATATTTATATATTTTTTTAATCTTATTGAACATTCAATATTATGTAGATCCAATATGAACATTTTATGTAATAAAAATGTACATTTATAAATTTTTACGTTCTACATTTGTTGTCTTTGGAAAGACATCTTCCACAGTTTTGTCTTTAGGGCTTTTCTCTTTTTCAGTCCCTTTTTTTCCTTCTTGTCCTTCTATTAAAATTTATTTAGTTAAAATTTAATTTTTTTAGTCTTATTGAATATTTAATATTATGCTTTTCCAATATGAACATTTTTTGTAATAAAAATGTACATTTTAAAATTTTTACCTTTTTCCACAGTTTTCTCTTCTATTGGCCCTTTTTCTTTCTTTTTTGCTTCACCTTCAAAAGTAATAGTATTGTTAAAATTGATATTTATGACTATTAAACAAAAATATTCAATAAATATGATCATTTACCTTTCCTGATTTCCTTGCTTGCCTTTTCCATTCTTTTGAGATTTCTCATAATTCTGATTGTCGATTCTTTGTGCTTCCTGTAAATGTATTATATTGTTATATAACTTTGAAATATATTCATTAATTGATTAAATTAATTCAATTATTTAAATTTAAACATACTTTGGGTTTCTCTCTATGTCTAAATGTATTTCTTGCATCTTGTCCTTTAATGTTGTTATTCTTGCATCATCTTTGGGTTTTCTGATATTTCATTAAAAATATGTTTGAATTTACAATTTTGATTAGTAAATAAAAAAATGAACATATAACTTATATTACTATTGGCCATGAGCAAACTTTTTTGTATTGATTTTCAAATGAACATATAGTCTATCTAAATTGAACATTTCAGTTTTCTTACTTTTGGCCAAGACTATTCTTTACTGGATTGCTTTGCACTTTTGGTTGAACTTCTTCTTGCTTGCTGAAATCAATATTAAGAAATACTTTAAATAAAAATGAAATAAATGGTACACAAAATAGATAGTTATCAAAAATGAAATGAACATTATATATTTATACCTTTTATCAATTTCATTTTTGTCCTTTTTCTCAGGAGTATTCCTGTCTGGATTGCTCTGCTCTTCTGGCTGAACTTGTTTTTGCTTGCTGAAATCAATTTTAAGAAATACTTTTAATAAAAAATGCACATAAATTGTACACAAAATATACTGTTATAAAAATGAACATTTGTTTATATAAAATTGATCATTAGTATACCTTTCATCCCTACTCTCTTTGTCAGTTGTGTTATGTGTAGCAGACACACTCTTAGTTGTTGCATTAGTAGCAGGAATGTTCTCACTTTGTTCACTTAAAAAAAACAGAATTATTTTATATAATATGATATTAAAGTATGAACTAATTTATACAATGAAGAAGATGATTAGTTATTTTGGTATAAAGCTTTTATACCTTATTGTTTGATTTGTCTCTGGTGGTCTTGATTTTGACATAACCAATTTCACTCGAACCTTTTTTTTTCACTAAAATTTTAAGAATTACCTAATAATTTTGGTATATATATACAATGTACAATAATTGAATGTAAAAACAATTATTTTATACATATAAACTTACTTGTTTAAAGTGTATCTTTCATAACTATTACCATATTCATTTTGTTCTATAACCTTCTTTAGAGTTAATGGTTCAGATTTCCCATCTCTAAATTGAAGCAAGTGTATCACTCTAAATGGCACATCACTACATTATAAATTAATTACATGACATTAGTTTGAATGCATATCACTGAAATGATTATTATCATATTTATATATGTGCATGATGATTTAATGAAATGTATATTTGTTATTTAAATCTCAATGAATACTCAAATGAACAAATATACATATATGATCATAATTATATCTATAAATGAACATTATGAGTATCAAATATGATCATATACAATGATGTTTCAATGAAATGTACTTTTGTTCTTAAATCTCAATAAATACTCATATGAACAAATATACATATATGATCATAATTATATCTATAAATGAACATTATGAGTATCAAATATGATCATATACAATGATGTTTCAATGAAATGTACTTTTGTTCTTAAATCTCAATAAATACTCATATGAACAAATATAAATATATGATCATAACTATATCTATAAATGAACATTATGAGTATCAAATATGATCATATACAAATAACATATTAAACAAAGATAAAACCAATTTTTATCAAATACAACTAGCATATTAGACATGAACATAATATATTCTGTAAATGACTAATTACCTTGGTAGTGGAGACATTGTTAAATCCGTACCAATTGAAATGTCAATATCTTTTAAAAGTTCCGGATCTACAATTGGATCATTTTGGCGGTTTTTTTTTCAATTTGTCTACTCTTGACTGAAGAGGTACATCATCATCATCGTCTCTGTTTTATTTAATAAATTGTTAATGTTTTAGTTATTTTCAGTAAAATCTTAGAACAATTACTACAATCGCAAAAAAATTTAACAAAAATTAGGTTTTACAAATAAATTCGCTCTATAATTTTCATCGCAAGAATATGAACAAATTAGGTTTTACAAAAGTTAGGGTTCATACATTTCTTCAGAAATTTTCAACAAATTACTCGTCTCTTGAAGTATTCTTCTCCAAAATCATACTACAATTGCAAAAAATTGAACAAAAATTAGGTTTCACACATAAAATCGCACTATAATTGTCATCGAAAGAAAATGAACAAAATTACTTACTCTTTAGATACATTTTGCTCCGTTTTTGCAGTTTCTTCTTGCATGTTCTTCTCTGTAGTGGTTTTTTTGCAAAATCGCACTACAATCGCAACAAAATGAACAAAATTAAGGTTTCACACATAAAATTGCACTACAATCTCAAAAAATGAACAAAACTAACGAAATTACTTACTCTTTTTGTTGTGATTGTTTAATTTCTTCTCGAATATCAGACATTTGAAGCAATTTTGGAGTATTTTGAAGCAATTTTTCAGTGATTTAAATTGAAATTTGTTCCGATTCGTTGGGTTTGATGAGAGAGAAACTCTAGAGAAATGAAGAAGATGGTGTTTAGAGAGAGAGAATGATTTGAAATTGATTTTTTTTTTTATTTTTTTTTATGTATATATATATGTGGGGTAGGGGAAGTTAGTTATGCAGTTACTGCGGTTATTGTGGGGAGTGGGTAATTATTGTGGGTTAGTGGAGGGGGTGTGGGTAGTAACTCTAAACGCTGCGTTTAGAGGGAGTGTAGGTTGGGCTACCTACACTAGGGTCTAGTGTATACCAATTAAATGTGACTTGGTGAGTACGGGCTAAACCCAAAGCGGACTATATCATACTAATGTGGAGTTGTGGTGTGAGTGCTCCCCAACAAGATAAATGACCGGGACCCAACATTTACGGTTTACAATACACATCTTTAACCTCGAATATATTCGGGAAGATATGAATACAAATTTTAAAAGAATAATAATATTTGAAAATGTGTTTCAAACTAAATCTAACAAGTTTTCACATGATATGATTTTATGGTTAAAGTTTTTATAAGTTGACTATAAATGTCAAACGTTAAGAATTAACCAAAAAAAAAAAAAAGGAATAATTTTTGTAAGGAAAATAGTTGCATAACCATCAAACCATGGATATCAGCATGAGATTTTCTTCACTCTTTTAGCTTCATCTATTTATTACCGCCTACCAAACGATCCAGATACTAGGGGTTAGAACAAATTTTGACAATAAAGGTTAGTTTTTGCTTAATTTGCAATAATGAATGGAGTATCATTCAATGACTGCCTAGTTTATTATAGCCACACAAAATAAAACCTTAATTAAGAAATAACTAGACAATGATAGGCGTGAGGGCTACAAGCCTACAAGTGAGGCCTTGAAGTTGCAAAAGTCATGTGACAAAGATGGATAAAAATTTGGTTGAGAAATTGAGAGTGGAGTGGTTGAGTGGATCAAATTTGTGAAGAGGGAAGATTTTATGATGAGGAAGGAATGGTCAAAAATGAGAAAACTGTTGAGAAATATTAGGAAGGGCGAGAAATTTTATTATTTGAAATTGAAAAATCAGATGAATGTATTTATATAAAAATTGCATGGGTATATTTAGTTACAAATTTACTAGCTTTTATTTACCTATACACAATAAATAGAACAGGTCAGAAGAAATGTTGTGAGCATGTATGAACTTGTCAAAAAAGGTGGGCATCCGTTTGTCTTTATTATCTCATACCAGAAAGGAAATTAGGAGAATAAGACAGAGAACCAAGTGAATTATTAAACTTTTATCAAACTAAAAAAGGAGTGTCAGAATTGTACGAGATTCATTCCAACCGTCACCAGTATCTTTGAGTAAAATTGTAGAAATCCATAAAACTCAAAATTGTAGAAATCCATAAAGAACAAATGATGTAAACATGATTTGATTTTAAGTGAATACCATTTTTAAGATTTCAATCGACTAAAATAATTGACGTCCATATTTTATAGTTATATAATGACACTATTTACAGCAAACCGGCAAAATAAGGGAATATGTCTAACCAACCAAAGTAGGAATTATTATAGGCTTATAGCTATTGTTTCCTTGATTAATGTCGTAGGAAAATGAGAGATTGAGTGGTTGAGATTTTTAAGAAACATTAGAGAAAGGGGGGGCTGATTATTGTCAGAAAGTTGTTGAGCTTTCAATATCCAGTTCAGCACTTAGCTCCCAATATTCAAAAGTGTGCCTGAACAATAATTTATTTTTGCTGAAAAACTGGTCCAAAGCTGAAAGCTGCTCATGGTGCAATCCAAGTCAAGCAGCTAGATTACAGTGTCACAATGGCTTGCATAGCTTAACCAAGGCAGTTCAGGTGCACTAGCCTATCGACTAGCCACTGCTAATACATTACTCGACTATAACCTTCAAGTAGCAAATTGGAACACACTCAGTTCAACAGATAAGATACAATGTATAAAAGTGAAGCTTTATTTTAGAATATACTAATTTCAGGTTTAGTTACAGATGTTCACATTTATAGCAACCCCTAAGCAATTCTAGGGTGCTCCTGAAACCTAGAAGGTTAAAAAAAAAAATAAAAAAAAAGGACAGCTCCTGTAAGGGCATTTCCAAATATGTAAGTTAACGCCTTAGGTGCCTAAATTTAACAATAGTTCTGAGAGAGCCAGAACTAAATTTAACGACATTGGACGTTACAACAAAAATGAAAGAATTTTAACATGAAGAGAAGGGAGGGAAAAAGCTGGAGAGATGGCTGTGGTTAGGGAGATCAGCCGTTCTCAAGATGTCAACGAATAATTATCTTAACTCAGCTTGTACAAGATTGGATTGCAGCTACATTTTGAACTTCAGAAAAGGGACTGAACTGATTCAGGAGATAACAGATTTGCCACACAATTGAACTGCAACCATCAAATTTTTTCTGTTAGAAGATATAGGTTGAAGGTATCATGAAATGCCAGATTAACTGTGAGGTTATGACATGCACCATTTCATAAGTAGGCCTATTAAAAATACAGCCTTACTTAAACCAAATTGAGAAGCACCCGACCCACTTAAAGTTTTGATTGAAAATTGCAAATCTAGTTAATCCCTATAATCGAGTTTAACAGATATGAACTTGGCAGATTGAAATATCACAAAAATGCACCTAATTTGAGAGCTCAACCTGACCCAACCAATTAAAGACCAACAAAACCTCAATGAAAATTTCCCCACCAGACAATGGCACAAAAATGCTCTTGAAGTCTTGAGGTTGAAACACAGAAATTTAGATCAATTGTCCCAAATCTGACCTGACCAAACTGTTTGAACACGTAGAAAGTAATCAAATAAATCAATCAAAACTTTGATATGTGAATTACCTTTTCATGTCTGTACTTCTCACGAATTGCATTCAGCGTGCAATTAATGGTGTTTAATTGCAGATCTTGCATGGCAGTTACTGTAACTTTGAGCTCCGTGGACTTATAGCTAGTATAGTGCTCTAAAGTTGGATTCTACAAAAGATAATGCACAGGTTACACAGAAAGTTAGCAGGGTAAATGATATCTATCAAAAACAAACTGGGAAAGACAAGGAAATAAATCACTAACCCATGGATGATCAGATTGATCAAGTGTCCATCTGGCAAGGAATACTGCAGATGCAGCAATAAGTGAGGGGAGGAATCTGAGAAAGCTGTATTCTACAAGAGTCAATTCTGCTAGGTAATTTGCCAAGTACTCTAAGTCTGCCAAACGATCCTGCAAATTTGAAAATGGATTTTGCGAGTTTTAGCTTCTGAGCAGTTACACTTGTACAAATGAATAATGATGAACAATGATGACAGCTTTAGTCGAGGCAATATTATACTACTAGCTTAATCTTCAGTCATGTATACAGGCTATG